GAATCCACCACAGCAACCCCTTGTCCACCCATGGCTTGAACAGTCATCGCAGCAATCACTCCGACCGTATGCATCGAAATTGAAATTGAAACATTTTTCCATGTGCATATCTTGAAATGGTTGAGATGTTTTTGGTGAAACAGCCGTTCCAGCGATGCAAACTTGAGTGGTGCAAGGCTAGCCACGTTCGTGTAATCAAGTGCTACATGCCTACACAGTGTACACAGTACCACACACCCATCTATGCCTTTCCACACAATTGCACCCTATATTTTTATCTGCTCTCAATGCCTCTCATAGTAATGCTCATTTGTTTGCGTTTAGCAGTTCTGCACGGGGAGCAGGAGGCAGGGAGAAGGAAAAGGAGGAGAGGGGAGAAAGTAGGAAGAAAGGGGGAGGTAGGGAGCAGGGAGTAGGGAAAGGGTAAGGACCTCTACATTCGGAGAGTTCCTGAGATTCACACAGGGATCAAACACCACATTATTTTCCATGTGTCATTATGTTCGCAGATGATCTCGGACCCGTCCTTCTTAATATTAGAGATGATTAATCGAATCTTTTAGGTGAGCCTCCAAGATGAAGTACAACTGGAGAAAGACGATGCGGTGGTGGTTTTCAGATGAACCCCTTTTCCTGTGGGTGAAGGACCCGAAAGCCAGATGTCCTTGGAATTACCGGAGGATGCCAACAGATACTCAGTTATCCCAAGCATGATGGCACAGAGTATTCTATCCGCTGATTCCACTGTATCCAGAGCAATTCAGAGATTGGGCAAGTGGCACCAGACAAAGGAGGCCACAAGAGCAATCAACTTTCCATTGGAGAACACTTGTGATTGTGCTCCAATACCTCTGTTTTCTAAATAATATGGTGTTCTGCGTCAAGCTGTGCAACGACCGGCCAATCAGTCGAAGAATAAAATAGGAAAGCCAGAGCCTATCTCCAGGCATGTGATTCCCAGGAGATAAAACTACATCATCAAGATAGAATGGCACTATACAGGAAGTCGATGCGGGGTAGAAGGCGCTGGGAGGATTGAGGGTACATTGTATAGCCGAAATAGGTTTAGGGAGCAAGGTACACAGAGACAGTAAGTGACATGGGGGCTAGCTAAGAGGAATGTACAGTGAGGGATAGCAAGGTAGCCCAAACAGGTTAAGACAGATAGCATGATAGCTGGACATAGGGAGACTAAGTAGGAAGTGATGATTGACATAATAGTCTGTTGAGTTTGATAGGTGGCCCGAGGAACTGCAGGTGAGGGTCCTCCCCGCGCCCCGTCTCTCTGAGGGTCCCCCTGCGGCGTGTCTGGGTGCTGCTAGCAAGCCTCCCGGCCAGCAGGGTGGCCCCCAGAGAAAGACCATGGTTTGGGGGGGTGGGCCCCTTTAGCACGTGCCCCCTTGGTAGACGATCAATGCCACACGGGTTGGGCTGTTCTCCTTTTCTGATCTGATCTCCTCCCCCCCCCCAAGAATAGAAGGGGCTTTGTGTTTAAAAAAAAAAAGAAAAAAAGGAAAAAAAAAAAAAAAAAGAATGGCTCTATATCACAAGGAAACAAGACGAAGGAGCTTCTGGCATCATTGAACCCAAACAGAGGAGAGGAGCTGAGGCCTGCAATTGTATAGACCTGAATTGTATTCTCTGCAAGCACAGAGCAAAAAAAAACGAGGGAAAACAAGTTGTTTACACTGCCATACCTTTGCTACAGGAGCCATCTCTGCTGCAATATGGATGATATGCATACCAGGCCTGCACAATGCAACGTAACATCACACACGTTTGCACGAAATTCGCTGGTGTCAGAGCAGGAACGGATTACCAGTAGCCAAACATAAGGCCGTGACATTTTGTCACTGTGACGTAACTCACCCTGAGTCTGTGGCCTAATCCACTGTGACGGTGTGACCTGATTTCCGCCTTCATTGATGACTAAAGCTCAGCTAGAGGTATTTACCTCCCTTCTCCCACTCAACAAGTATTTAGTATTTACTATTTCTCCAACTTTTCACTTGGGTGTGCCTCTATCTCACTAGTAATTTGGATGAGCGAGAATTAACCAACATATGAAAATCCCAGCATGGCTCATTTGATGGGATCAAAAGATGGGACACCAAGGCAGTTGAAACAGCTCAGAAACAAAAAAAAAAACAAAAAACAGAAACAGCTCAGAGCTCGTCCTACCATCAAGATGGACTAAGTGAACCACATCAACTTATTTATAGCTCCTAGCTGCTTTCTGACAAGTATTCTGATCTTCCATATCAATCTGTCAAGATCGCACATTATCGACTGCAGGTGATGAGTTACACTGCTGGGACAGCGCGGCATCCTTAGTAGTCCCTTCTACCCTTTCATGGCAATCGAATCATTTTTTCCTTTTGCTGCATTTCCCTCTGTACTCAGAACAAGTCCAAACAAAAAAACCGCCCCCTCCATCGTCCCCCCGGCCCTCCCCTCCTCACCCATCCACCCACCTCTGCTTTGACTTCAGGAGGCTTCGCAGCGAGTTTGCAACTTGGTTGTCAGCTTCCTCTTGCACCGCTAGAAAGGCATCACGGATACGCAGGTCCCTCTCCCAGGCAAGCATCCGCAACTCTATACCTTCATCTGCTGTGATGAGTTCACTCAGAGCTAAGGCATCAATTCGCAGAAGCAAGTTGCTCCAGAAGTCCCACGGCATCTCGCCCACTGGAACCTTGCCATCCACGTCTACACTAGTGGAACGCAGATCCTCCATACTCTCCTGAAAATACGCCACCTCTGCTTTGTATCTCTCAAGTTGATCTCGCAACTCAATATCGACATCGCGTAACCTGTCTTTCAGCATGTCGACTTGATCGCGTAAGACCTCGTTTTCTGCTTGAACCCGACTCCACAACTCCCTCTCTGCCTCCTTCTCCGCAAGGCTTGCCGTCGCCAGTTGCAGCTGCTCCTGAACTTTCTCCAGCTCATCAGCAGTTTTGGCAACCGTTTTCTTCGAGTCCAATAATGCGATCCTAAGCGCTCTCACCTCGTCCTCGGCTTCTCTGCTCTGAACCAAGGCCTGTTCCAGTGTTCGAATCTTCATATCGGACTCCATGCCACGGGCCTGCAGCTGCCCCACTTGTTCTTGCAAAACCTCACTCTGCGATTTCGCCTCGGAAGACAGTTTCTCCTTCAACTGTGCCTCTGCCAACTGTGCTCGCATCATCTCAAGCTGTTCTCTAAGCGATGAATTCGTCGATTCTGCCTGATTGAGTTGCTGCACAAACTCTTTCAGCTCTCTCACCTTGGCTTGAAGTTTTGTGTTCTGATCTACCAGAGCCTCATTGTCAGTCCTGATTGCCTCCAAAGTTATACCAGATGACCCATTTACACTTGCTTCCAGTTTGGCCTGAAGAGAGCTGAGCTGTTCTTCAAGCAGTTGATTCTTTGCCTTCAGTTGAGATGTCAGTTTTGCTTTTGCCTCCGCCTCAGCCAAGCGAGCTGTCAAGACTTTGGCCTGCCCTTGCAACATCTGGTTCTCTGCCCGGATTTGTTCACGCTCTTCCACAGCCCGCACCCTCACCCTGTTCAGCATAAGAATGTCTGACGCAAAAGGTTCAATGGTTTGGAAATTCAAATAAGTATATGATTCAATCTGTAAATGCCATATATGGTGTAGAATATACAGTATACAGTACTATACACACGTGTCCATGCTTGCACACATGCCTTTTTTGCAGGTCATGGTGGCATAGTGGAAGTGTGTTGTCAGGTTTGCAACACACAACTCCATTTAAACAAAAAGGCATGAATGTGCCAGACGGTTTCATCCAACTTTCACCGACTCATCATGTGCATATCACTGTATCGTCAAACAGAGCTGCCCGGTGAACCGTAGGCATAACACTTACTACCCCAAAACCCGGGGATGCGTGCAGGACAACAAACAAGAGGCTGTGACAAACTGTTTCGTGCAAGTTTCACCGACTCATCAGGAGGCTGAATCCTAGGCTGAATAGGATTCAGCTTCCTGATGAGTCGGTGAAACTTCCACGAAACAGTTTGCCACAGCCCCTCGTTTGTTGTCCTCTTCTCCCTCTCTGCCTGCGGTTTACCGGCAGCTCTGTTTGACTATATATATGATGACAGGGTCACCAGCCCGTACGTACGGAGGTCCCCAGGCCGACCTCCGTACGTACGTGCGTTCGAGGTCCCGTCGGGGTCCGAACCCAATGGCGTTCGGCCCCCGTCAAAAATGATTTCGGGGCCTAAAAATGAGTTTTTTTTTTCTGATTTTTTTTCTGTGAGTTCTCTATTATGTGAGCTACATGCCTATAAATTTTAAAGTCATTTTGCTTAGCCAAACACAAATTAAAAATTGCCAAAGATGGTGGTGTCAAAACGTGCTCGCCACTTACTATTTTGTTTTTTTTCACTTTTTCCTTTTTGTTTTCACTTTATTGTGGGGCCTAAACAATTTTATTATTCTTTTAAACTTTTTTAATGGGTTTTGTTACTTTTGTATTATGTGAAGTACATATGTAAATTTTCAGGGCATTTGGCTGTGACAAAAAAAAATTGAAAAATCACCAAAGATGACGGTGTCAAAAAGGTGCTCGCTCACTCACTAATTTTAATTCTCTTTTCATTTTTTCTTATTTTTCTTATAAGTTTTATTTTCTGTATTTTATTTTTATTTCAAATTTGGTAAGGAATTTGGATGTAGCTCAGGTAAATGTTGTTTATTAAACTTTATTTTATTTTTCTTCATAACACTTCTTTTTTTCAGATTTTTTTGAATTGTTTTGTTTGCTTTTTTGTTTGTTTTTTTTTGGTCCGTGTTCGGCCCGAACGGCCGAACGCATCCCCAAGGGATCGCGTACGTCTGGCCCGTTCCGAACGCTGGTTACCCTGTATGACGATATATATATATCGTCAAACAGAGCTGCCCAGTAAACCGTAGGCAGAGAGGGAGAAGAGGACAACAAACGAGGGGCTGTGACAAACTGTTCCGTCGGAGTTTCACCGACGCATCAGGATATATATATATATCGTCAAATAGAACTGCCCGGTAAACCGTAGGCAGAGAGGGAGAAGAGGACAACAAACGAGGGGCTGTGACAAACTGTTTCGTCGGAGTTTCACNAATAGAACTGCCCGGTAAACCGTAGGCAGAGAGGGAGAAGAGGACAACAAACGAGGGGCTGTGACAAACTGTTTCGTCGGAGTTTCACCGACTCATCAGGAGGCTGAATATATATATATCGTCACATGAATATCAGAGCGCAAAGGCGAAAAAAAACAGAAGAAAACAAGAAAAAAATCAATTCGTTTTTTTATCTTCTTTCTTACAACTCCCCCTGTTCAGAACCTCTTGCATACCAGGCCGCCCACGTGGATGTAGGTTGAGCGGCGGCTGCCCCCACCCCCATGTGTCATATCGACCCACTTGCTCACAGCCAAAGGGCAAAGAGGCAAAGAAAAGAGGAAGGGAACAGCCAAATACAACAAAACAGGGGGCAACAAGCAATAGCACCAAAAACGGATCCTAGATGACAAGTCCCACATGCAAGCACCGCCCCTCCTTCACAGGCCAAAGGACAGGACAAGACCACCCAGGACAAAACTCTTGTCTGCAAAAAAAGAAAATTTTAAAATCCCAGATTACATATCTATATACAGCAGATGGCCTTGTTCGTCATCAAGACGTGGGTATTCCCATTTGTAAACCATGCTTACTGGGACAAAAAACATAAAAGACAATCCCAGATGACGATTCCCACATGAAAGCACCGCCCCCTCACACAGGCCGAACAACCGGAAGCAACCAACTAGGATGCCAAGACAATAAAAGAGAACCCGGATGACTGGTCCCACATGAAAGCACCGCTACGCTCACCGAAATAGACCGAACAACGGGACCAAACCAACCGGGATGCAGACAAGGTTACCAAAACAAATTCTATCATATCCATAGTAAAAAAACGGAACCATACAGTAGGTCCGCAAAACGAAATACCCCATAAATGTGGAAGAATAAAGCAAAAAAAGGAGAAATGGTAGCAAGAGAATTAGGAAAACATTTTCTACCATAACCAAAGAAGAGCCTGCTAGCACAGGCCCGACACTCGCCACATCATCTACAAAAGCAGAGAGCTAGCAACGTCGGAGTATATATCGTCACATGAATATCAGAGCGCAAAGGCGAAAAAAAACAGAAGAAAACAAGAAAAAAATATATATATCGTCACAATATCGTCATATATATTGTCACATCACTACAAACTAAAAGAGCGCACTTTGCGGAACAAAGAATAAAAGCCAAAAACGGGCACAGTGATAACATGCAAAAAGAAAAAGAAAAAGAAAAAGAAAAAGAAAAAGAAAAAACAAGGGCAGATTGAAACCATTAAATTTCTCATTCTTCTTTGAACTCCACCTCCACTGTGCCTCTCACGTGCAAGGCTCGCCACGTTGATGAAGTTGAGC